CTCTTGCTGCTCTAAAGGTTAAGCAGAGTTTTACCAGGCCTGACCTCATGGTAGGGCTTTAAATATGTGCAGAGTGAAGAAAGAATCAGGACAAATTAATTAATCTTTGGCCTGGAGTTGGTTTTACACCCTATAGGAGTTAGAATCATTCAAAGCCTGCATGGACTGTAAACATAAGTTTGATAAAAGTGAATCAAAAAATCAGGGCAAGTGTTTTATCAGTGACAGCTTTACCTGTAGGGATGGACAAAACATGGTCTGAGCCCAAGGTTTCCTGAAGAAAAGAGACTTCAGCTCCTGCTGCTCCTGTGGTATCTTAGTGGAGAGGTAGAAGCGACTTGGTAAAGCCAATTCTTACACAAGTCAGTGTTTTTAAGAGGAGGGGTCATGCAGGGGAGCGTGGCTGGGAGGGCAGAGATGTGATGGTGATGATGATGGCCTGGTGGGCAGAGATGTGATGGTGAGGGCTTGGTGATGATGATGATGAGGTTTCAAGATGCTGTGGGATTCCTGCAGAGGTTCTTGTTGAGAGATTTTTCTCACATGCACTTCACATCCAGTTGAGTCACAAATGCAATTAAGCAATAAATGAGACTGTGATTCAAGTTTTCCCTTGCTTATCTTTTAAATCTATCTCCAAAGGTGAATTAGATTCCAGGTTTCAGTGCTTTTAACATCAGGTAATGGAAACAGGGATCTCTGTGTGGGATCATAAACTGATTTGGGTTGGAAAAGCTCTCCAGGATTAATGAGTCCAACCCAGCACTGCCATGCTTACCCCTAAACCAAGCCCCTAAAACGTGTAGTGTGTGGTTTCTCCTGGAAAGCATTAAAATCACACGTGTGCTGAGCTGTGCTGGGGGTGCAGTGAGCCCATCAGAGAACCTGACCCTCACTTCTTGAACGGATGGGGATCTGTGCAGTTCCTCCTCTCCAAGTGCAGCCCCAGCAAGGGGTGGTGGAGTGGCCAGAGGAGCTGAGGCTGGGGCTGATGGTCTGGGGACACCTGCTGGGCACAGCCCCGGCCCCAGGAGGGACCTGCAGGCTGAGACTCCTGTGTGCAGTGCAGGAAGTGATACTGGGAATGAAAGCACCGAGCAGTGACCTGGGGAACTCTGCAGTGGGGCCTGAAGGATTAAACTCCACATTTCTGACTGCACCAGCTGCTGCTCCTGCTCCACTTGGCACTTGTTTCCCCTCAGGCTGTGCACAATTGCAGAGGGGTCTCAAAACTTTTTTTCTCAGTCACAGCGGTTTTATTGCCACTGTTTCCTTGGGTTTTACATAAGAGTGTGTTTGTTACAGCTCCTGCACTTTCCAACTAGGTCAGTAAAAGTGTCCTTGTCCCTATTTTCTTGAACAATCAGCTCCCTAAAGCCAGACAGTCTGATAGCAGCTTGTGATTAATGCTTCCAGCAATTATAAAGTGGAAGATCTTAAATTACATTTGTTAACTAAGACCAGTACATGAAACATGAAGTGACTTTGTCTTCCTTGTTGCAGATCCATAACATGGTGGCAGTGCTGGAAGTGATCTCCAGCCTGGAGAAATATCCCATTACCAAAGAGGCACTTGAGGTATGTCACCCTCTGAACATGATTTTTTTTTATGTGTATAAAAGGACTTTTTCCTGCCTTTCTAATTTCCATTGGAGCTTTTCTGGAAACAATAGATGGATTGCAAAGGATTCACAATTAAGATATTATTTTGTCTCTCTCGTGCTGCTTCCGACATCTCGGTGAACACAGGGATCCTTTCTGGGCCCAGATCAGTATTCTGGGCAGCACAGTTCCTGTTTGTGCAGGGCACTACATTAATCATCACTTGCCACTGATTAATTCTGTTGCACTCAGCAATGTCACCCTGCAGTTCCGGTCACCTTTGTAGACGTTTGGTGACCAAGCACCTAAAATCTGAAATAGGAATAGAGTTGTTCTGGGGCTGTAAAATGAATCTTAAATTCAGTTAAGCAGGTTTCAAGGCCTGATATTTGTGGTGAGGTCAGGTGTAGGGGGAGCTGAATTCTCACTGCCCACTCGTAGAAACAGTCCAGAGAAGTTTTATGGCTGAATTATATATGTCTTTTTCACTCTTTGTATTGAAATTAGCGGTGTTCTTGCTTTTAACTGTTGCTTAATTACAACTCCACCTGTATTTCATCATATCTATCACAAGAGGTTGCATATTTCTCTCACAGTCTGGTCTGTGTTCTCCTTTGAAGTACTTTTCTTAAGAAATCAGACTTGTGGAACAGTTCTTTGTTTTCTAATGTGCTTTGGGAACAATCAAACATTTCCTTCCGCTCATGAAACCACCTTGGGACACCCTGGGAATGTTGTTTAAATGGCTTTTTCATATGTTTCCACAAGGCTGGGGAGTGAAGGGGGAGGAGAGAGGTGGAGGAAAAAGGTAGGACACAACTCACACCTGGTAGTCAGGTTTGTCAAATGGAGATTTTTTATTGTTAACGAGTTACTGGGACAGGTAAAGATCCTGGAATTCTTTCCTCTTGTCTCTCTCTGCAGATCTTATCCTTCCCTTGTGATAAACACACATCTTTGGGTCCTGCATTTCCCCTTGAATCTGAACCTGCACCTTTATTCTTATGGTTCTTTCTCATTAAAGAATTCCTTTCTGATGTTTTTCCCAGCTCTCCTGCTTTTACCAGGGAATAAAGACAGCGTGACTTGAAACCTACAGCCGGTTTCATGTTGCGTGGCGGAGCACTGGACTAATCCTTTCCAAAAAGATTCATTCAACACTTAAATCTTTAGTGTTTTCAAGCAGGTGTTTCTCAGGGGTGAGCATTACAAAGCAAAAGCATTCCTTGAGAATTTTGCTTGGAATGATACGTGTTTGTAAAACACCTTGTCTGTCTTTGTAGGAAACCAGACTCGGGAGGCTTATCAATGAGGTGAGGAAGAAGACATCCAATGAGGAACTTGCCAAACGTGCCAAGAAATTGTTGCGGAATTGGCAGAAGTTGATAGAACCCGTAACCCAGAACGAGCCAGTGCCAAGGGGGCTGCCCAACCCGCCGGGATCAGCGAATGGAGGTGCTCACAACTGCAAACCAGACTCACAACTTCCTGCTGTGGCCGGCGCCAAGCCCATCAGCGAACTGAAAAGCAGGAATGATATCCAGAAACTAAATTCTCCAAAACCAGAGAAACTGGGAAATAGGAAAAGGAAAGGTGATCACAGGGATGGGCATCAGGGCCCTCCTCCCCCAAAAGTCTCCAAAGCTAGTCATGAAGTATTACAAAACTCTTCACCCCCTCCAACCAATGGAATTGGAGGTAGTCCTGAGAATTTTCCTAGTCCTGTAGACATAAACCTACACGCAGGGCCCGAAAGCAGCAGGACAGATCTCAGTGAAAATGATAAACACAGTAAGATCCCAGTAAATGCTGTAAAACCTCACACCAGTTCTCCAGGACTTGTAAAACCTTCAAGCACTTCCTCGTTACTAAAGACTGCAGTGCTTCAGCAGCATGATAAATCAGAAGAAGCCACGGGCCCCCACCAGCCCAAGAGCCCACGCTGCTCCTCCTTTAGCCCCAGGAACGTTAGGCATGATACTTTTGCTCGGCAGCACACCACGTACTCACCAAAGGATTCGATGCCCAGTCCATCTCAAAGGTCTCAGTTCGCAGACGCTGCACAGGTGCCATCGCCGCCGCCATCCCTGATGCAACCATCCACACCTCCCATGCCAGCCAAGAGACTGGAGTTCCCTCCTCAGGCGGCCCCCGAGGCGGCTCAGCACTGGCAGGAGCAGCAGGGAGCCCCCGAGGGCCAGCACAGGCACACAGCAGGGACACTTCAGCAGCACACGGCTCCCGGCTGCAAAGCCCACCCCGGGGAATCACACATGGGCTTCCCACAGGACACTTCCAGAATGGACAGTGACGATGCTGCTTCAGGGTCTGATAGCAAAAAGAAGAAAAGGTACCGACCCAGAGACTATACAGTCAACTTGGATGGGCACGTGACAGAAGGGGGTGTGAAACCTGTGAGGTTAAAAGAGAGAAAACTCACTTTTGATCCCATGACAGGACAGATAAAACCTTTAACACCGAAAGATCCTTTGCAGGTAGAAATCCCTGCACTTACTGAACAGCACAGGACAGAAACGGAAAAGCAGGAGCAAAAACCCAACCTGCAAAGCCCCTTTGAACAAACGAACTGGAAAGAGTTGTCCAGAAATGAAATCATTCAGTCATATTTAAACAGACAGAGTAGCTTGCTGTCTTCATCAGGAGTACAGACTCCAGGAGCTCACTACTTCATGTCTGAGTATTTAAAGCAGGAGGAAAGCACTAGAAAAGAGGCTAGAAAGACTCACGTTCTAGCTCCTAACAGCAAACCTACAGACTTGCCTGGGGTCACCAGAGAGGTCACGGGTGATGACCTCGACAGAATACGTGACCACAACTGGGCAGGCGTGAACGGTTGTTATGACACACAGGGTAACTGGTATGATTGGACACAGTGCATATCCTTAGATCCACACGGGGATGATGGGAGATTGAACATCCTGCCTTACGTCTGCCTAGACTGAGAGCAGTCCTGCTAACCACGCTTTTTACACCTGCAGTTAGCAGAACTGGCAGACACGATGCCACTTCCAGCTGGAGAGAGCCTCCTGTCCTGGACAAACAGGCCCCACGAGCAGAGGGGGGGAGGGAGCTGGGCCTTTCCAGCTCGTTCCTTTAAATTCTCCTTTTGTGAAATGCTGCTACCAGTTTACTAACAATTGCAAAGGAAGGCATACGAAGGTTGATCAGTTGAGTTCAAAACTCTATAGCAAGCCAGCTATAAAAAGTGTTAGTCCCCAAGAAGTGAAGAGGATTTCCAGCACTTTCTGAATGCCGGAATCTTAATACAGGCAGGTACAGAGAAAAAATTGTGGAAGTTACCTTAACAAAATATGCATCTATTTATTTGACTTGATTTGGGTTTTTATTTGGCAGTGAGATATTCGAGAGACAATGTGCAAAAACTGTAGTTTTATTTCTATCACATCTCTGAACATGATTGCGTTATTTAAGAGTCATGTGGTACGGAGATTGGGTTTTAAACAGCAGGTGTTGCACTGCAGGCTGGGCCACCAGCTTCAGCTCAACATTCCATAGGCATCCACATATTTTAGTCTGGTTTCAGTTTAAATCCAGTCTCTGAGAAATGCTGCAAAAACTAGATGTTTAATGATATTTTTTTGATCCCACCACCACCAGCCAAATATTTTTCCTCCTTTTCCCTTCCTGCAAACTTATAGGTAAAAAACAAAAAGACAAAAAAAACAAAAAGACAAGAAAAAAACAGACAAAAAAAAAAAAGAAAAATCACCTTTTCTAGAATCTAAATGTAATGAGGGTGCTACAAGTTTGTAACTGTACTGTGAGAGGGAAAAAGGAAGCCTGTTTGTATGCTGGAAATATACTTGTTACCATTCCTTTAGATATTGTTTGCCTTATGGATATCCATCATAAACGCAATTTGCAAAAACAAAGAGCCTTAGTGAATGTACAGTAACTAGACTTCTGTGTTCCTGGGATGCAGAAGGGAGCAACTTTGCTATTTGGTCCTTTAAGTGGACACGTTGTGATATAAATGTGGAAATAAAAAAAATTTGCACAAACCAGTTTGTGAATTATTTATATACACTCGTTCCCCCCCCTCTCCCCCCCACCCAAATTTGCTCAGTTCAGCCCAGCTAAGGGAGCCCTGGCACTGGGGCCCCGTCGGAGCAGGGAGGTGGAGCCGAATCCCTCGGACACCGCCGGTAGGGATAACGGGATTGTCTTCCAAGAACCTTGGTGTGCTGCTCAGTCACACAGGGTGGATCTGTTTTTAACTCTGGAGACTGATAACTCAACTGCTGATAATGTACCTCAAAGTCTAAAGAGATCAGACTTCATCTTTTTGTCTCGGTAACTTTGTAATGTTTTATTCCTAATTGTTACAGTGCTTTCTGAAGCAGCCTGGGGTGAAAGTGAAGGATTTCTATGAACTGTAATTGCTTTAATAATTGGGACTATGTTGTTTGATGCAGTCCCCAGTGTTGGGCTGTTCAGGGGGTTGGGGAGGGGACACTATACCAAAAATATTCCTGGGTTTAGTGATGTTAACTCTGTTAACCCATCTGTGCTGGAGATGAGCCTTGGCAGGAGTTGTCCTGCCTTTGAGGGTAGAGTCAAACTCTTCCCTGGTTTTCAAAGGAGGGTGCTCCTGGCCAGGCCTGCATTGTGTTGGTTCATAACCTGGAATACAACCGATGAAGTTTGGTTTATTTTTAAGTCGTTCTTGTTCATCATTTCTGATCTGACTGTTACTGAAATGTGTGGGTATCTCAGAAATAACGATGTCTGTGTGCTTCCATTTCTAAAATCTGAGGTCTGAGAGTGAAACCAGAAGTGGTTACCAAAAAATGCATCCAAGTATATTTTCAGTTTACTTCCATTTTGTCCTTCTGCAGTTGCTGAGGTTGAGCAGTGTGGTTTAGAGCTGGGGAAAACTCCTGTCTTGCAGTTCAGATTTGATGGCAGAGGGCTAAGCTGCTGATCATTTTGGAAATGCTTAAGTTTTGTTTATGTAAAAACGTACTGTGCATCTCCCCCTGACCTTTCCCCCCCCTTCCCTGAATGGTCCCATTTAGGAACAGGGTCTGTGCTCTTTGGAGGCCTTTAAATATTCCCAAATTTCAGGAAATGACAAAGTATTACTTGATAAATTACATCTTTTTTTTCCCACTGCTTCCATTTCTGATGCAATTGATGGCCCTTGACTGCACTGGGTGAGGTGATGCCTGAAGCTCATCACAGCTTCCAGATTACACCCAAACTGCCTGTGCTGATGCTCCTCCGTTTGAGGAAGCGTCAGGAATCAGACCCAGCTCTTTCCCTGGTGGTACAAAAACTGCTGGAGAAATTCCCTCCCAATGCAAGCTTTAAATCTTGTTCCTTGCTGAGTTTGTTGCTGCTGTAAGGGGTCAACTCACTTGTGTGTCCTCCAGGGTGAGATGAGGCTTGACAATCTTTATTTCAGCATGCCAGTATAACCAGTTCTGTGAGCTCCAACAAATGTGAATAAGTTTACAAGGTGATATTTTTTTGTCAATTTTGTAAACAAGTTCAAATGAAGTTTACCGTGTGCGTACCTGCTGTGTACTCTCATTTGTGCATGACTCAGTTTCTCTGCTACTGCTTTCCCCTACCTCTCTCGTAAAATTCCTCCTTCTAATCCTAAACCCTTAAATTAAAACTGCCATTTCTTCCTTGTCAACGGATGACACGAAATGGCTCATCAGCAAATCTCTGGGGAGTCGCCATTACCTAAAGTGCGTGTTTTTATGGGCAAATTAAAGCTGTAGCAATGTCTCTTGACAGGGTGCATGGATGAAGCGGGCTCTACAACCCCTCCTGCCTGCCAGGTACTCACCCATCCTTTACCCCGGCCGGCTTTCGCGTTCCTCGCCTTAGTTTTAAAGGTCGGCAGCGACCTCCGAGCCCGCGACCTCCGCCCCGTCCCTGCCCTGCCGCTGTCCCGGGGGCGGCTCCGCTCCCCCGAGCGTCCCGGGAG